GGTCTGTAGCTATACATCTGTTTGCTGGGTTTACCACACTTCTGAATTTAAATACTCTTCTTGCTAACTGCAGTGTATGATTGCATTTACAGTATACTATTTTCTGCCTTTCTGTCTCTTTCTTCCTCCTCTCCATCCTGAATTTCTCCTTACACTTGCGCTCTATATACAGTCTCCACTTTGCATATGCCTCCTCGCCAACTCCAGCTCCCTGTCTCCCCCCTCCTCTTCTGTATGTAACAAATGAAGGACCTCCTCCAGCTGGACAGAAGTAGGTCTCGGGAGGAGGAGGGAGGTCGTAAAAGGGGGGAACGGCGACGAGAGAGAACTGGCCAGAGGAGATACAGTCTGGATGGCCAACAAACAGAGCGAGAAGAGCAAGGGAGGAAAAGGAGAGCAAGCAGGGATGATGGGAGCGATCATTCCATTTCCCTTCTGTCTGGCTCCTTGATAATGAAGGCCATTACTCATAAGCATTTCACTCTCCTGGCTCACTGTCTTCTCTTTCTTTTCATCATTTTATTTTCCTCTTTGTTCACCCTCTCCATCTGCCTTTGCATCTATGCCTTTTGCTGCCAGTTTCAGTACTTATAATGAACTGTTAAATAAATGTCAACAAATGTGAGTCATAAAATATTCAATAACTAATTATTACAGCTGAGGCATTTATAAGCAAACAGAGACCTGTATCCGTTTCCCAGATTTGTTATTGTGCAAAACGATCCTTCATTGCATCTTAAGGGCTTATGATTTCATCTCTAATGTGCCAACACTCCTGTGGCTTAGCTAATCGTTATTACAGATGGTGGGGTCATCCTTTCTGGGAACATGGATATTCTAGTTATTAAAATGTATATTATCATATTTAATAAATATGAACTCATCAAGATTTTTGCTGTTGAAATGAAAATGGGGTAATAAGCTGTTAGAATCAGAAACCACGGTGCTATTTGTATTACCTTCACCCATTTTAGCATCTCTTTATTCATGCAGTACTCTTTATGTAGGCTACGTTAAAGCCCTGTTAGTAAAGAATAGTGTTGCATCTTGAAATTTGATCCAGAATTCATGTGGCTGTGGCATCTGTAGTCCAAGAGTTAGAGTAAATTGTCTATTAATAAGGTGGGGTGGTGGTTCCATTCTCCTCCTGTCTCAAAGCATCCGTAAGAAAGACACTGAAACTAGAGTGTGAGTGTTTGAATGATAGGTTAAAAGAGCTTACCATAGAAAAAAGGCACTTGTGTGAATGGGTGAACGAGTCTTCTTGTACTAAGAAAGCACTTTGAGTGTTGCATAAAGACTGGAATAAGAGAAATAATGGAAATTTCAACCAGTCTACAGTTACATTACTTTAATGTCACTAATAAAAAAATTAATAATAATAATAATAATAATAATAATAATAATAATAATAATAATAATAAACCCTCAAAAATCAAAACCCTCGCTTGTTGTGAAGACTATTAGCCCTCCAGGTCACGTGATTATGTCCTTTTTTCATCCTGAGAGGGCAAATCGTAGACCGCTGACTTAATCTTGGCAAAAAATCTATTGGTCTTGTTAAATTCACAGAAGTGATTGATAGTCCAAGCGTTCACATCACCCAGCGACTTTGGTATTTACTCAACTATGTCAACACAAGGATAGTAAAAAATGATAGACTAATTCTGCAGGGATTTCAGCTGCAGCTTTTACTCTCTTTTGGCCACACTCAATCGTCTACAAGAGAGGCCATTTCTACATGTCTCCTAACTTTATCTCAATTAATGATTGGGTCGGAGTTGTAAATTTAGGTTATTAAAATGGCTTTGGCGCTCCACTGAGTCAGAGTTGAAGTATGTGTGTGATTAGGAAACCACCAAACACACTGGAGCGGAGAAATTGAGTTGTTTTCAATTAAGGCCTACAAAGCAGAACACACTTCGCTAGTGGACCAGCCAGAAGTTGATAGGCCTCGTTGGTGTTTAAATTGATTGAAGGAAATCTCATTACAGTGGCTGGCAAAGATGTAAATTTAGTTAGCTGTGAACAAACTCGTGTCTGTCACCTTTTTTGTGCGTGAAGGCATTCTGTGAGTTGCTCATCGTATCATTAATAAGAAAGGGGTGGGGAAAACATTAGATATGAAGCTACAAGAGCGAGCGAGTGTAAGTTGCATTTGTGCGTGTGACATTTCAGCATACATAATCCCATTTAATACGGTCAGTTATGGAGTAGAACATTTGGCAGCACTTCTGTGTTTTTCTGTTGAAAATCAGCCAGAGCTTTTGTCATAGAGTTGGCTCAGACAGAGCATGAATGAATGGATTAGATATGAGAGTAAGTCAGACAACAGAAAGAGAGTTGATGGGACGAGGAAACGGTTGGGTTTTTTTGCTTATGAGAACTGGCTGTGACTTTATTAATGTTCCTATTAATTCCCCGCACATGGCATTGGCCTATGGAAAAAATAAATAAATAAATAAATAAAATATATATATATATATATTAGGGGTGCAACGATACAACAAAATTCACGGTTCGGTTCGGTTCGATACTTTGGTGTCACGGTTCGATATTTTTTCGATACAAAAAAAATGTTCATGCCTTTTTATTAATTTGTCATTTATTAAATTTTCA